AAATTAAACAAACTAATCACTTTTATATTCATGATAGCATAAACAAAGGATAAATTGACCAACTTGGCTTCACAGAACACTTACTTTCTGGCATGGAACGAACATCTCTTTTCAAATCGAGATGTAAAAAATGTAATCTGAACAGGTACATCTGGGATAAACAAACGTAGATGTACTAGATGTGTCCGATGCGGATAAAAAAACGCTCGAGATGTAAAAAATGCATCCCATGTGGATTTTCAAACGCGGCAAAAGAAATGCCTTAAAAGTATGAAACAAGTGACGTCACAGTTAACCTTGTTGATAGTACTCTTTGGGTAAGTTCGGTTTGGAACTCGACAGATCGGACAGAGCGCGCACGGAGTGCGTGACGTCATAGACAAAGTTCGCTTTTTTTTATAATTTCAAGACGAACACAAGGGGAATGACAAATAAAATTAGTGATAGTTTGCACTTGAATACACTTTTGTTTGTGTATGGACTGTAAAAAATAATTTTAATCAAATGGGAAATAGTTATAACAAAAACAAACAAGATATAATACGTGTAAAAACTGATTAATCATAAGATTAGAATATTGACATTTGACATTTTTGACACATTCCGGCCGAGTTCGGTTTGGCGTTCGCTGTACTCAGAGTGCACTCGGTATGCCTTGATTGTGGTCTCCTTGACACTCAGAGCGTACTCTTTTGTGTTCGGTTTGCCACAGATCACGTACTCAGAGCCCGCTCACTCTTTCCCGAGTTGGCCGATGGAGATCAGCGGGTATCTGTAGGAATGTGTCAAAAATGTCAAATGGCAATTTTCTGATCGGTGATTAATCAGTTTTACACGTAATATTTCTTGTTTTGTTTCTGTTATAACTATTTTCTATTTGATTAAAATTATTTTTTTACAGTCCATGGACACACACAAAAGTGTATTCAAGTGCAAACTATCACTAGTGTCATATGTCATTTCTCTTGTGATTCTAAAAAGAGTGTACTCTGTCTATGACGTCACGCACTCCGTGCGCGCTCTGTGCGATCCGTCGAGTTCCAAAGCGAACTTACCCTCCTATAGATACTTGCTGATCTCCACCAGTCAACTCGGGGAAGAGTGTGCCTGCTCGGAGTACGTGATCTGTGGCAAGCCGAACACAAAAGAGTACGCTCCGAGTGCCAAAACGACCACAATTGAGGCATACCAAGTGCACTCTGAGTACAGCGAACGCCAATCCGAACTCAGCTTTTAAAGTTAGCTGGTTGACTGTCGTCATTTGTCAAACAAATAAATTCAAACAACACAAATTATGTTTCAAAGTTTTCGAAAAGTATTGTTTATTATTTTATAGATGACGTAATATTAATATTTAAAAATAATGTACTACAACAATTCAATCAAAATGGATAAATACATCATTGGGTGTGAACGAAAATAAATTAATAGAACTGATTTCTTTTTCATAGATTTTAGTTGGACACTTGGCAACACCGCACTAATTTATATTGACAGAGCATGAAAGACATAATTCTAAATTTTAATGAATAAGTTTACACAAATGATCACTTAATGATCCTCATAAGACTTTAATATGTAATTTTTTTAAAAAAACGTTAATTTATGGGGTTTCCGGTGGTATATTTGAAAAATACTCTCCTTCCTAAAGACTAAAATGTAAGTTTTGTAAAAAAATATGTATTTTTAAGAAAAGGGCGTCTTCGCAATAATTACCAAAAATTTAAAACAAAATGCTAAAACTAAGAATTATAAATAGATTTGGATGACAAACTGCAATATTTTTGTTCGCAAAAACGACACAGCCAATGTTATTAATATATCCACAGATAAGGACATTGGTAAGTTAGTTTAATAGGTGCTAATAAAACCCTTAACAGAATTAACATTTTTTTTTTACTTCTCGCTAATTCTTCTCATTAATTTCAATGTTTTATCAAAATGTTAGAGGTCTCAATACCAAAATTAATGTGCTGAATCAAAATCTATTAAACTCCGAAAGTGATATAATTTGTTTAACGGAAACTCGGCTTTCATCATCAATATCTAATGAAGAAATTTCTACATCATACAAAATATATCTTCGCGATAAGGAATCAAGCTCTTCAAACAAATTGTGTGGTGGAGGTATTTTAATAGCAGTGTCAAATGAAATTTTTAGTTTCTCTGAGGACTCGTGGACCTCTGAGGCTGAGGATGTTTGAGTCACCGTTATACCCATCCGCGAAAAACGATACAAGGTTCATATTTGTTGTGTTTACATACCTCTCAGAGATAGGGTGGCACTAAATTTATTTTGCACTAAATTTCTTCATATTTTTCTAAATAACATAAATGATAACTATAATATTTGTGGAGATTTTTATTTTTCCACAAATAAAGTGGTTTAAAGATACTGTTACGCAGCACCCTGCAGTAGCCTCTTCCTGCATCGCTTTTCTAGAATTCTGAGCCCATTTTTGCTCATACCCATTGGATCTATCTACGCCATCCCACCTGTACCCTGGTCGAACAGCAAACCTATTTGGCATGAAGTCACCCAGATACGTTGGCTTTTCAGAAATACCTTGCTCTACTGTGACTTTTTTCTTCTTCTTTCGAATGTAAGCCAACGTCGGATCCTTTTCTCTTTCTTGGTCCTTCAAGTACTTCTCCAAATCCTCATCCTCCTCGTACCTAGCTAAAGGTTTATTCATTTCTTTGAGTTGATCTGCCATTCTTTCACTCTCGTCTTGAACCTGCTTCACCCTTACAATACTTTTCTTTCAATTCTTTCTCTTTTTTCTTTTTCAGGATCCGGTTCTTCTTCTGGCTTCCTCTTCCTTCTAACAGTCGCTGCGGTTGCTCCAGAGAAATCGATAGACATCGCCTTAAACATTTCTGCTTCCTCATTTTGTTCACGAATTATATCAGCTACGAGGTTTTTAGCGTTCTGCAAACCGGATTTCTTCCCGCTCATTGTCGTGTCCGGTTTTTCCAATTTGCCAGGAGAAGAGTTTGATTCTTCTTCTGTTTTTCTTCATAGTAGAACGGTCTTTTCCTTCTTTCTAGTGGGAGATGGACTGCCATTTCTGTTCTTCCTTGGAGGAGAATGGTCATCCTCTTGTACCCTCTTTAAAGGTTGATCAATTTCCCTTTTCCTTGCTCCTTTTTTTCCTGGGGGAACAATAATCACCAACCTCTTTTTCTCTTATTGATAGATTTTTTCCTTTTTCTAGGAAGATATTGATCTTCTTTTTCTGGAAGGGGATTCAGGACTATCCTTTCGTCTAGGAGGAGACTGATCATTCTCATATCCCCTGGGAGAAGATTCATCATCTCCCCTTTTTCTTAGAGATTGGTCATTATCTCTTCTTCTGGGAGAAGAATATCTTCCCTTTCTTTTGAGGGGAGATGAATCATTTTCCCGCTTCCTGGGAGGAGATTGGTCATCATCTCTTCTTCTGGGAGGGGATTGATCTCTTCCCTTTTGTCTTGGAGGAGATGAATCATTCTCCCCTCTCCTATGTTACACAAGTTTTTTAAATGACGGAATGTTGGTAGATTCTGTGTATACCGACTTCAGTAAGGCATTTGATAAAATTGACCATTCTATCCTAATATCGAGGCTCGCTGAGGTCGGCGTAAAGGGAAATCTGCTAAGATGGTTTGACTCTTATGTAAGAAATAGGTCTTAACAGGTAGCATTGGGTAAATACAAACCTATATTTATCATTCCTACATCAGGAGTACCACAAGGATCTCATCTTGGACCGTTACTCTTTAACCTTTTTGTGAATAATACATTATGTAACTGCTTTAAATTCTCCTTCAATTTAATTGTCCCAATTATAATACTAGAAATATTAATACATTTTTTCTTAACAAGGCAGCAACCAACTACTATATAAATGCTCCCCTCCGTGGAATATCAAAAACGAATAAAAAAAAATTAAATAAAATAAAAAAAAATGTCTGTCAAAAAGTCCTTGGTAGTAAATGAATATGTATTAAGAGTTTTTATAATCCAGTATTTAGAAAATTCGAAAACAATTAAATAGTTCTTTTCGTAGGAAAATAACGTTTTAAATCACTCTGTATGTACGTCTATAAAAAATAAATAAACCTACAAATATGTGTGTCTTTTTGTCTCTAATATAAATAGTGAGTATGGAATTCTAACAATGATCTTGATTTTGATCGTTTAGCAGTTGCCACAACAGCAGGTTTATCGTTTTTTCAAAATTCTATCTTGGATCTGGGTAAGAACAGATGGTGCATACTTTGTGTTTTGTGATGGGTTATCAGTTTATAAGGTATAATATTTTATAAGGCTTTTGTTTTTATTTGTTACGTAAAATGGTTATTATAACATTGTAGTCAGTTTGTTTCATAAGGACAAAAAGTAAATAAGATTATATTGCGGATAATTTAACTTGATGACTTATTTATTAATTCGCCTTTTACCATACTAACAAGTTGGATTTTTTTTAACATTTTAAAAACAAATGCGTGTTGTTGTTGTTGTTGTTGTGTTTTAAAAGCCTTAGATATCCTGAATTGTATCTACAAAAATACAATTGTCATCGAGTCTCGATGGGGGTATTATTAATCAAAGCCAAATCAAATTATAAACAAAAACATTCACTATCAATCGCAAAAAAATGATATATAATGATAGAAATGATATATACCAACGAATGTAGGTGTGATTTTAAGAGTAAGAAGGATTTGCGTATGAATAATAAAACCATCAATAAGGAGATACCCGATAATAATAAAAAAATCATCGAAATATTTGCTGACATGTATGTCTCTTGTAATTCCAGGTATTATCAAAACAGATATGCTCTAATTTTATGTTTGAATCCATAATGCCATACTTACATTCATTGTATATAAATATTGAGCATTGGTTTAATTATCATAATTAGGAAACTAATAGCACACAAATATATAACTCTCTAATTACAAATTGGAGTTTGATAACATTGATAACAATGAAAATTTATTTGTTTCAGGCGATTCTCACGAAAAACCACCACTGGAAGAACACGATACTGAAAAAGGTGAGTTCTCACATAAATCAGGGGCGCTTTTATTAAGGATGGGTATAGACTCAAACTACGTTTTTTAAATTGTTTAATATTTAGTTAGTAAGTAATTGATAAAATTATAACTGGAAGCAGCTCCTTCGCCAAAATTTAATACAAGTTAAAAAAATGAGTAAGGTGATTTTAAATATTCATAAAAAGTGTATAAATAATGTGAACGCAGAAAAAATATTGTGTGTATTTCGAGCAAAAATTTATTTTTGGTTAGTTGAATACGTTTATTCCAATTATGTAAAAAGTTCGTAATATCAGCAGGACTGGCCCTAGACATTTTGGCGCTCCGGCCAAAACCTTAATTTTGCGCCCCCCTCCCGTTTTTTTAAGTAAATCTCATGCGATCATATCAAAAAGTCAAAAAAACATTTTATTAAAAACTCAATTATCAGATAACAAGATAAGCAATTTAGCACTTAAGGCAAAATAACAAAAATTAAAATGTAGTAAACTAATATCCCATAAGTATAAGGGGTTAAGAAAAGGTCCTTTATTTCTCACACGTCATTGACGTGTGAGAAATAAAGGACCTTTACTTAATCCCTACTACTCACATATGGCTACCCTCACTCCAAATAATATCCCATATTATAAATAAATTCTAACTAATCAAAGTAATTAAAATGTCCTTTTTCTAACTTTTCTTTCGGCAAACTCACGAAACAGTAATTTCAAGTCTAATTTGTCACTAATTTGGTGTTCTATAGCTATCATTGCCAATCCATTGAGACGATTTTGCGTCTGCATCGTTATGAGGTAATTTTTTATTATTTTTAGTTTTGAAAAGCTTCTTTCCCCTGAAGCCACAGTGACTGGCAATGTAAGTAGGATTCTTAATGCTATGTTGAGGTCTGGTGCGAATTTAAGTGTAGCGATAAACTTGAGAACTTCAACAGGGGTTTCCTTTTTTGTTAATAATGATGAAACAATGCTTATTTCATCGGCTAGTTCCAGGGCGTTAAGGTCGCTTGAATTTCCATCAGTTAAAACTACTTCCAAATCTTTGCAATGAGCCAGTAGCGCATTTTTGGGCATGTCTTTTAGACCAAAAATATTATGCAAAAAGCTGAAATAATTACTGTGAGGATTTAGCAAATTATATCTGGTTTCCAAGGCATTTATTGCTTGATCTATAGTGTGAAAAAAAAATCTATTTTATATTTTTGTTTAAGGTCTTGAACAGGTTCATCCGGGCCCTCATACAAAAACGTTCTTGTTTTGCTTCTGACACGATGACGTGGTGTGGTAGTTTCGAAATTAGCTTCCACGTCAATCTCTGAAGCAAGCTCCCCAGACAACACACCAAATCCCAGAGATATCCACAGAATATCTTTTGTGGATATCCAATATATCCACAGGATATCAGAAATATTCCGTTGAATCTAATATGGATATCCAAATGTCCGTCTATATCCAGAATATAGAAAATATTCTAATGGATATCCAGCAAAATATCTAATGGGTATCTACCAGAAAATACAAGAAATCCCAGAGATATCTACAGAATATATTTTGTGGATATTCAATATATCCAATATGGATATCCAACCAAATGTCCGTCTATATCCCAGGATATAGAAGCTATTCGGATATTCAGCAAAATATTTTATGGGTATCTTTGGTAGAGGTTCATAAGTAACCAATGATTATTGAATAACATCGAAAGAAAATAGCAGAGATAAAAAATATTTTCAACACTCTGCCTTTGATTTTGCCCACTAAGGAGAAAGTCATCCTTATTAGCATTCTTCAGCAATAAATGGAAATTCTCGACTCCAGTCTCTAATGGAGTCTGATTAAGACAAAAATTTCGATCGAACTCAATTACGGCGGGTCGAGCATGAGTAGATGCGTAAGTGGTATCGCCATCTATACTTAGTAAGCAAAATCAAATAACATCTAGTGGATATCCACGATAGTTTGCGTTCGCGCCTAGACTTTGATATATTTAGTGGATGTCCATGAGATATTGAATACACCTTAAAAAAATTAATTTTAAATATCTGTACGGTACTATTAGCCACAATGGCGTAATTTTTTAATAATTTGCTATATAATTACTATTATTTATGGACATTTGCATGTCTATAAATTCCATCTCATGGATATAAAATGGATATCAACCATGGACTGGTTATTCAGTGGATATTGGGATGTTCAGTAGATATCCAAAGGATTTGGTGTGCTGTCTGGGTCGGTTGCTTCTAAAATGATGCTTTCAAAAGCTTCATCTGATCTCAGGTTTTCAAAGAAGAGTTTGCAGTTGCTAAGCATATCAATAGCTTGTGACATATTAAAATTTACAGTTTGCAAAAGTTTGCTGATGGGGTTAATATGACTCAAAATTTTGTACCAGATCACAACAGAGCATATAAATTTGAACTGCTTCAAATTATTTAATAATCCGCTAGCCTCGTCTCTGATCATATTATCGATTTCTGAATCTTCATATATGCTGTACAAAGCATCGTGAATTGGACCAATTTGAAACCGCAGAGCTTTTAATGAGTCGACTCGACTTTCCCATTGCGTATCACTTAATGGTTTTAGGGTGTAAGTATCAATATATTTCAGTAATATTGCCCAATGAAAAGAAGAAGAAGAAGAAAAAAATGTATATAACTTTTGAACAATATTGAAGAAGTTGGCTGCCTCAAACGAGGATTTTGCCATATCGTTTACAATCAAATTTAGCGAATGTCTGCTGCATGGAACATAAAATGCTTTGGGGTTTATATTTCTGATTCTTGTTTGTACTCCCGATTTTTCTCCACTCATATTAGAACCATTGTCATACCCTTGATCGCGCATGTTTTCCACTTTAAGCCTATTTTTCTCTAGCTCTTCTAGTAAAACCTCCGACAATTCCTTAGCTGTTGATCTCTCAATGGGTAGAAAACCCAAAAAATGTTCGTTGATATTAATTTGAACTCCAGACTCTGATTTCTGTATGAAGACAAATCTTACCACAAATATAATCTGTTCTACTTTACTTGCATCGGGAGTACAGTAAAGAATCACGGAATAATACTTGGCCTCTTGAACTTGCGACAATGCGAGCTCTCACACATCGGCTCAAATATTTTTGAGCACTCCAAACGAGTCATCCGCCGTATAGTCCTGACTTAGCACCGAATGACTTTTTTTTATTCCCATACGTAAAAAATAAACTAAGAGGTCAACGTTTTTCGACTTTTGAAGAAGCGGTGGCTAAAGTGCTTCGACAATTGGTTGTGTATAGATCTTCTTGGAGAATATTTTGAAAAACAAAGCGATTTTCGATGATTAATATTTGTTTCTGTTCTCTAATCCCGAAATATAAAAGGCAACCCTCGTACAGTGACTCCTTCGCTAATTTCATTGTCAAGATTATGATTGCTTTGAAACATTACTCCTAAACCGTGTATCTTAGTCATTAATGCTATCATAATATATTGTTGCTAGTATCATATTTGCTTTCAGATATACCTTTTGAATCGTTAAGTGAAACTAACTCTTTTGGCATTGTAGATACATTTACACTTATAAATTAAACATTTTTTACCAGATGACATTAGACAAGCATCTGTATATGGACATTCCATCATTTGGTGCTGCCTCTCTTAACTGATTAACATATAGTGTTTATTCGTATTCGGTTTTTATCTGCCTAATTTATCGTCGGATTGTTATTCGGAGTTGTTGAACTAATAGACAGAAGATAAAGCTCGACCAAAATCTGTGTGGTAAACGAGCAGGGGCGTTATTTTAGGTTTCTACAAGAAGGTCGAGTTGTAATTAGGTGTTAATTATTGTAGATTCGTCTGCAGAATAAGTGAAACACTTTTTAGAACTAATTAGGAATACAATTATGATTCTTATATTTAATTTGATGACCAAAGTAGACTATCAGGATATCTAATGTGTTTGCGATATAATTAGTATTACAATCGTTTCATATGTATCTAATGTCTCGATCTCGTATTTCTAGAAAAAAATAGTTTTAATTGAAATAATTTGTTTAAATGAACTGTTTAAAAACAACAATCTCCAATGATTTGTGAAGAATATTAAGTATATCTGGGAGACATTTAAAATGAGACAATCTAAAATGGGATATGTTAATGAACTCTCAAAGTCATTAAAGCATTTGTTAGATAAATGTGTATGCCTATCAAATATATTAAGTATAGCTTACCTAAAAAGTGTGAACATATCTCGTGTTGAGTCACGTCTTTAGAATGATATTCTTGTTTGGGTAAAAATTCTGTCGATGCACCTAAAAGAGCTAGAGATACTTCAAAGGAGAATTATAAAAATACAATACGATAACTGTAAAGAATAAAATGTTATGACCTTAAGAAAATTGTTTAAAATATGTAATATTTTATAACAACTATTTATGTACAGATCATGTTTACAAACATTTGAACACACTAATTACGAAATTCGTTACAAAAAGCAATAATAATTAATAAATTATTAGGTCAAAGGTGCTACTCATACAAATTAGTCAAAATATACAATCACTTATTGGAGTTATACAAAATATTAGTATTTACTTTGAACTTGTTCTCACTTTTAAAGAGTTACTTTTAAATATGTTCTAAATCTTGTTATAAAAAGGTATACATTTAAAACAACTGAGTTAAAAAAAAACACACAAAAATAAGAAATAAAGTCACTAAATAAATAACAAAATAAACAAAATATCTAAAATCTACGTGCCACCACGATAGGCCCCATCTTAAATGACACAAAACATTCATAATTACAAGATATGAACTACCATTGATATATAAACCTAATAAGACACAGAAAAAAAAACGCCAAAGTATACAGAGTATGTCAAATAACAAAATCAACTGCCAAAATCAGTTGCCAAAAATATTGGGGCGAAATCATCACTCCCCCACCCACAGAAAACCATCTCACCCATCTCAACTGCAGCTATAAGGTCTTGTAGCTATAATCAGGGTTGC